CTCTAGGGGCTTCTTTGAAATATGGCTGCCCCAGTGGATCGGTTGGCTCCACTCACTCCAATGCTGAGCATTTCCACAGAGTGGGTTATAGCGACTCCGAACACGAAACGTGTAGAGTTTCTGCCCGTCCACGCTAGGCAAGGAGAAGCTACAGCTGTGGCCCACTAACTGTTCAATCCAGCTGCGGTCCTGGCCGCTCCGGTACTGCACCAGGTACTCCAAACAGCGGCCCAGGTCTCCGTTGCTCCACCTCAGTTCCAGCTGGGATTCAGTCAGGTTGTGAAGTGTTAGGTTCTCCGGAGCCCAGGGAATCACCAGATCCTTCAGGGTTAGCCTCTTTTGGGTCTTCCTCCCAAGTGCCTGTGGGTCCTGGAGCTGTACCACAAATGTCTGGTAGAGACGGATCTCCTCTTTTCCCAACCAGCAGCCGGAGGTGATCTCTGAGGAGTATAGATAGTGGCCACACTCCTGGACTTTGTCATGACCGGAGTTCCCGTACCAATAGTGCAGAGTCAGGTTGGTGGGCCGAGGCTCGGAGCTGCTGTCCCAAGTGCAGTTCATGTACTCGACATTGAATACAAAACACTGAACCTCTGGGAGGGGCAGGGTGGAAACACTGAGGGCTCCAGGGAGTAAATGAGCTTCATTTCCATTGGGTGTGAGGACTGTGGGGGTCAGCCCCATCCCAAAGAGAGGCAGCTGCAGGAATAAGAGGAATCTGAATGGCAGTGGTTGCTTCAACACGGCACTCTTGTTCTTCGTTCTCTGGGTGGTACTGTCAAGAGTGAAATTAATTTAAAAAATACATCTTATTTAATTCAATATACCCCCAATATCATCTTAACATATAATTCAATATAAAAATTAACAAATGATATATTTTAACTTTTTTGTATTAAGTCTTCAACATGTTACAGCAAATCTCAACTCAGACTAACCAGGTTGCAAACCCTCAATAATCACAGGTGGCTGGCTAGTGGCTACCATTTGTACAGTAGAGGACTAATTAATAAATGGTCAACCTATTTCCTTTGTTTTTATTTTTTTTAAATGTATTTATTTTTAATCATTACCTGAGGATATGTTTTTTATTGATTTTTATTTTATTTTATTATTATTATTTTTAAAATATATTTTATTGATTTTTGTACAGAGAGGAAGGGAGAGAGATAGAGAGTCAGAAACATCGATGAGAGAGAGTCATCGATCAGCTGCCTCTTGCACACCCCCTACTGGGGATATGCCCGCAACCAAGGTACATGCCCTTGACCGGAATCGAACCCGGGACCCTTCAGTCCCCAAGCCGACGCTCTATCCATTGAGCCAAACCGGTTTCGGCTGTTTTTATTTTTTAATGGCTAATAATTCTTTATTGTTGAGTGTATTAAAGATGTCCCTCTGCGTTTTCCCCCCCCCATTGCCTTCCCCCACTTGGATCCTGCCCCGCCTTTACCACCCTATAGTCTGTGTCCATGGGTAATGCATGGCTCATCTCTTCCCACCCACTCCTCTGAGATTCTGTTCCACATTTCCACGTCTCTGGCTCTATTTTATTCAACAGTTTATTTTGTTCATTAGGTTCCTTATTCATTTATTTTGATTTTTAGATTCAATTGTTGATAGATATGTATTTATTGCCATTTTTTGTTCATATTCTCCTCCTTCTTCAAGTAGATCCTTCAACATTTCATATAATACTGGTTTGGTGGTCATGAACTCCTTTAACTTTTTCTTGCCTATGAAGCTCTTTATCTGACCTTCTATTCTAAATGATAGCTTCTATTCTAGATGATAGCTTTGCTGGGTAGAGTAATCTTGGTTTTAGGACCTTGCTTTTTATAAATTTGAATATTTCTTGCCACTCCCCCTGGCCTACTAAGTTTCTGTTGAGAAGTCAGCTAACAGCTGTATGGGCACTCCCTTCTACAAGGGAGCAAAAAAAAAAAAAAAAAAAAGAAAGAAAGAAAGAAAGAAAGAAAGAAAGAAAGAAAGAAAGAAAGAAAGAAAGAAAGAAAATGAAGATAGTGTAAGGAGCCTTTGGGACTACTAACTGCTTTTCTCTTGCTGCTTTTAAGATTCTTTCTTTGTCTTTAATCCTTGGCATTTTATGATATGTCCTGATGTGGACCTATTTGTGTTCCTCCTGTTTGGGACTCTGCACTTCCTGGACTTGCTTCTGTCACCAGGTAGGGGAAGTTTTCTGTCATTCTTTCTTCAAATAGGTTTTCAATTTCTTTCTCTTTCTTCTTCCAGCACCCCATGATGCGAATATTCATACGCTTGAAGTTGTCCCAGAGGCTCCTTACACTATCTTCATATTTTTGGATTCTTTTTGCTCTTTTGAGCGGGTGTTGCTTTTTGCTCTTTTGAATGGACTTGCTTCCTCATATTCCAAATCGCTGATTTGAGTCTCGGCATCCTCTACTGTTGATTCCCTGTAAATTATTCTTCATCTCAGTTAGTATATCTTTCATTTTTGACTGGTCCTTTTTTATGTTGTTGACATTCTAAGTCCATTGAAGTTCTCATTAAGTTTCTTGAGCCTCCTTATAACCATTGTTTTTAACTCCATATCCAGTAGTTTGCTTGTGTCCATTTCATTTAGTTTTTTTCTCTCTAGAAATTTCTCCTGTTCTTTCATTTGTGACATGTTTCTTTGTCTCTGCATTTTGGCTGCATCCCTGTGTTTGTTTCTATGTATTAGGTAGAGCTACTATGTCTCTTGGAATTGGTAGAGTGGCCTTGTGTAGTAGGTGTCCTGTAGGGCCTAGTTGCTCAGCCTCCCCAGTCACCTGAGCTGGGTATTCTAGGTGTGGCTCCTATGTGGGCTGTGTGCAATGATCTGGTGTAGTTGAGGCTTGATTGCTGTTGTTATCACTAGGAGGAATGGGCCTCCAGGGCAATTGGCTGTGAGGACCAGTTGTGACTATAGTAGAAGAGCTGCTGTGTAAGAGATACCCCTATAGAACAGGACTTGCTTCAGTGGGGTTTTGGTGCTCACTGGTACCACCCCTTGAGTGTGTCACTCGTGGATATGATAACAGTTGTAATCTGGCATGACCTGAAGTTGTCCACCAGCACTGGTTCTGGGGCCTCTTGAAAGGTGCAAATTCAGCCACTGTCTATGCCCTGCCTGGAGCTATAGAATGATCTGCAGATGGCTGCTACTTGTGTTGGGCTTGTAGGTACCTAGGAGGGGCAAAGCTGTGAACCTTGCCAAGCTGCTGCTAGTGCTGAGCCTGGGGTATCAAGAGGTATGGGGCACCCTGAGTCCAGCTGCTACTTGTTTGAGAAATTTTAGGAAAGTCTGAAGCTTGAGCCAGGACAGGCCATTCATATGGAAAAGCCACTGCAAACAGCTTGGGTGAGGCTCCAAATTGGATGGGGTGAGATCTCAGGGCTGGGAAAACAGATTGATTAAGACTCAGCTATGATGCCTGCCAGTGAGCTCTGTGTGTAGGGAGATCTTAGCGGAGGAACAATGACCTCTGCCAGCACTTTTGTCTAGGAGACAGCTGCACCCGCACCCCTTGCAATTCCTGCCCCGATGACAGACAATTTAGTTCCTTCCTGTATGGCTTTCAATCCTTTCAAACTGCTGTTCCAGTGCTGGAGCTCCAAGGGAGTGAGTCTGAATAAGTCCGTGTGCCGGCCCTTAAAGAGGAATTGCCTGAGACTCCAGCAGCCTCTGTGTTACTCAGCCACAATCCCCACTGGTTTTATAGCCTGAAGTTATGGGGACTTCTCTTCCCAGCTCTGGAGGCCTGGGCTGGGGGTCTGGTGTGGGGCTGGGACCACTTGCTCTTCATGGGAGGCCTCCTCAGCCAAGATATCCCTCTCACTTAAAAACACCACACATGGGTGTCAGACCAGCCCATTTAGCCCCTCCGACAAGTCTCAATGTCCTTTCTTCTTTAATTCTCTAGTTGTAGGTTTTCTATGTAGACATATTTTAGGCGGTTCTGAATGATGGTTGTTCTGTATTTTAGTTGTAATTTTGATGTGGTTGTGGGAGGATGTGAGTACTGCGTTTACCTACACTACCATCTTGCTGTTTCTCCTCAACCTACTTCCTTTAAAAATTTATATTGCTGCAATAACAATTTAAAAAATCCACAAATCACTTTCCTAGCCCTAGATACTTTGTTCTCCGAAGGTAGTCAGAAAGTAATTTTGTCTGCAGATATCGTGCAACTTCACATCTTTAGCCCTGGTTCCTTTCCCTCTTCCCAGTGGCAGAGCCTGTGTTCAGGACATTTCCCCCAGAATGTTCTGCTCCCGAAGCCTATTCAAAAACACCTATAGTAGGTACTGGAGACCAAATAAATACTTCTAATCTGTTTCCCCACTTAAATAAATCCTCCTTTATATGTCAATTATATTTCAATAAAGCTGAAATTAAAAAAGAAAAAAGAAACCTTCAGACTATGCTAAAAGAGAAGTGATTTTGTATTGTTGAGTTGTTCTTACAAGGCATATACCAACAGGCCTTGTAAGAACATGCTAATCCCTTACAATTTGCTGCCTTGTATTGCTAATTATAAAAATTTTCTATAAACATCTCTTTCCAAATAGAGGGTAGATTTCCTGAAAGCATGGACTAGGGTCATACCAGTGTGTTCTTCTAGGTGTTTAGTAAGCAGCAAGTACTGAATATACATTTGCTGGCTGACAAGTACTTGCAAAGAAGAAGGGCCTGTGGGGCAGGAGGAAGGTTCTACCTAGAAAAGAGGCCTGGAGTGATAACTCTAGCAAACCAGGATCAGGGTGAGCAGGGAGGGCCTGCAAGAACCCCAAAGCTGAGGAAAGCACTGTGAAGTTTCACTTTTCTAATTCCATTTGCGAAGAAGTTAGAACTGGCAACTCTTAAATTAGGATCAGTGAGCCTCAACCACTTAAATGATCAGCATTAAAAATCCTTTCTTGGCACTAAATGAAAATAGTACCACTGTTGATGTTTAATATACACACATAATATCAGACCAAAGAAGATAACTCACCACATGTTGTGCTCAAAAACTTTGGCTGGGTCAGTTAGAATCCTTGATCCCAGAGGGACTGCTGGGTGATAACCACTTTGGTATCTCTGTGGCACATTTCTTATCCTTAGATAGGAAATCCAATTTCTCCAAATCCCATTCATCCTAATTAGTACCTAAAAAATTACAAACAATTAATCAGTCAATATGAATTGAACAGTATACTGTTTATCTAATACCCAAAAATTGGTCCAAAAGATTTACAACTTGTGAAAGAACATGCAAACTAATAACTAATACATTTTTATTGATTTCAGAGAGGAGAGAAAGATAGAAACATCAATGATGAGAATAATTGATCAGCTGCCTCCTGCGGGCCCCCTACTTGGGGATCAAGCCTGCAACTCAGGTATATGCCCTGACCGAGAATCAAACCATGACGTCCTGGTTCATAGGTTGATGCTCAACCACTAAGCCACACTGGCTGGGCAAACCGAATGACTTTAAATGAAAGATGGGCATGATAGTTTTTATTCTTAAGTATTTTCAGGCTGAGAAGGGAAAAGAGTATTCAGTGTTCGACATTGGCTGACAATCTTTATAAATCACAGCCTTGACAAACTTTGCCTTGTTTGGCATTTGCTTACTTAATTTTTAGCATGTGGCCAAAGCACGTAAACTAAGAATCTGGATTTTGAGTATTAAAAAGTTTTAAGTGATTTCATTATTCTTGTGTCCAGGAAAACATTTTTCTAGAAATTTTGTGATCACTAGACCAAAATCCCAAGAACTATAGTAGTAGAATAAGAAAACAAACCTATTATCTCATTCCCTGGGCTGATTTAAATAATATGAAAATTAGTCAAATAAATAAGGACATATTTTATTAAGATATGATCCCAGCCATTCTTGACTCTAACGACCCTGTATACATAAACTTTTTTAAAAAATATATATTTTTATTGATTTTTCACAGAGAGGAAGGGAGAGGGATGGAGAGGTAGAAAAATCGATGAGAGAGAAACATCGACCAGCTGCCTTCTGCACACCCCCTACAGGGGATGTGCCTGCAACCAATGTACATGCCCTTTACCGGAATCGAACCTGGGACTTTTCAGTCTGCAGACCGAGGCTCTATCCATTAAGCCAAACCGGTTTCGGCTACATATACTTTTAAGAATAGTCAAGTCTTGCCAAAACCGGTTTGGCTCAGTGGATAGAGCGTCGGTCTGCAGACTGGAAGGTCCCAGGTTTGATTCCGGTCAAGGGCATGTACATTGGTTGCGGGCACATCCCTGGTGTGGGGTGTGCAAGAGGCAGCTGTTAGATGTCTCTCTTCAATCGATGTTTCTAGCTCTCTAGCTCTCTCTTCTCCCTTCCTCTCTGTAAAAAATCAATAAAATATATTAAAAAAAAAAAAAAAAAAAAAAAAGAATAGTCAAGCCTGGAGTTGCTTAGTGTTGAGCTTCGACCTATGAACCCGGAGACCATGCTTCGATTTCTGGTCAGGGCATATGCCGGGAATTGTGGGCTTGATCCCTAGTGTGGGGCGTGCAGGAGGCAGCCAATTAATGATTCTCTCTCATCACTGATGTTTCTCTCTCTTCCTCTCTTTTCCATTCTGAAATCAATAAAAATATATATATATATATTTTTTTAAAGAATAGTCAATACATTTGCAAAATAGGTTTCCCTGTACAAAACACATGTTTTAATTCTAGCGCATCAGTTGCCTAGCCAAATCCATCCCCATTTCTGGAAGAACAATCTAAACATTTAATTAGTATGTCATCTTAATTATGTATTGGCAAATATGTCAGTTTAAAACATTTATGGAAAAGTCTAAAAAAGAAGCTCTAAAGATCTTACTTTTTCCAGTAAGAATCCATTGTAATACAGCTCGACATTTCACTCCTATTCAGTTGTGCACCACGACATTCAGCCTAATGCTGTAAGCTGTCAGGTAGAAACAGATGCTGTAAGGTGTGTGTACATAACATGCACTAGAGACTATCCAAGGTGCTATTAGGCATAAAAATGACATGTATTGTACACTCTTTACCACCTTATTGAAAGTCAATGGGTTTTAAGACCGTGAATTTCAAAATGAACTGCAGAGTGTCAAAAACATCTCATTGTGTTTTCAACATAAAATTCAAAATTTTCCATTAAAAAAAAAAAAAGCTTAGTTACACACACCAAAAAGACTGTAATGGTTCTATTCATACGTGACTAACAATGATGAAAAATAAAACATTCAATAGCTAGTGCTGATCTCCTGTTTTTTGTTTGCTTTCCCTTCTCCACTAGATGCAAGCTCCTTGCTTGGCTGAAGCAATAAGGCAAATGCTCTGCCTACCACTCCCTTTCCTCTGCTATGCCTTTGTTCTTTTCTCCTGCCAGTGTGCCACGTAAGACTAACAAACCCGATTATTTTTAGACCTCTCTTTCTGCACTGAATACTACTCATAAAATCTCTATGCTGAAAAGTAGAAACTGATTACACCGAGAGAGGCAATTCATGCTCAAAAGTGTAAAAGATGTAAACGTTTTTCCACCCAAATCAAAATAAAATTTCAGTCTTTCAAATAATCATGTGATACTTATCTATATCTACATATAGAAAAGGAAGAGAGAGAAAAAATAATATATTGAGCTTCTCCCACTATAAATGACCAAGAACCTCTATACACAGTTGGAGACAAAAAGTCATAAGCAGATTGGATATTAGGCAATTCAGGAAAATGTCAGAGAGTATACAGTGTGGCCAGGTCCTAAGTATGAGGCAATTTGTCCTGCTTAGGCAGCAGTTTTTCTAATTAACTATATAAGCATCTTTATTTTTATCATCTGCAACAGTCACAGCTTAGCTCTTTATATTTTTATTAATAAAAATTACTAAGATCCTTACAGTGTGGAAGAAGGAAGTGACAGAAGAGTGTGACAGTATACAGGCAGCTATCCAGTTACATTGACTGTAGTGGTAGAGAAATATGTGCTTCATGTTATGACTATCTTGATAGCTTAATGCAGTGTTTTTCAACCTTTTTTGGGCAAAGGCACACTTGTTTCATGAAAAAATTCACGAGGCACACCACCATTAGAAAATGTTAAAAAATTTAACTCTGTGCCTATATTGACTATATATAAAGTAATTCTCTTGAATAGGAATCAAATAAACACAAAGAAAGTATTTTATAATTACTTTATTATGAAATATTAAGTAAACAAAATAGTGAAAAATTATAAAATTCTTGTCTTGTCTGCACCTACGGCACACCAGGCAACATCTCGTGGCACACTAGTGTGCCGCGAAACAGCGGTTGAAAAACGCTGGCTTAATGTTTACTAGGCCATGATTCTACTTTGTGATGTGGGGGAGAAGGGGGAAGAGCAGGGTGAGCCAGAATCCCAGTGGAGACAGTTGGTTTCTGCTATCAGAGCGTCCCACTCCTTTTATGTACCCACTTTTAACTCTCTTGGTATACCCTAATTTGGATAAAGGATTAACTAAGGTATTATTTGCAAAATGAAGCTGTATGGGTAAGTAGTATTTTTATTTAAAATAACACAAAGAAGCCGAAGCCGGTTTGGCTCAGTGGTAGAGCGTCGGTCTGCAGACTGTAGGGTCCCAGGTTCAATTCTGGTCAAGGGCATGTACATTAGTTGCAGGCACATCCCCGGTGGGGGGGGGGGGGTTGCAAGAGGCAGCTGGTCGATGTTTCTCTCTCATGGACGTTTCTAGCTCTCTATCTCTCTCCCTTCCTCTCTGTAAAAAATCAATAAAATATATTTAAAAAACAAACAAACAAACAAAAATACCACCTCTTCAAAAAATAAAATAAAATAACACAAAGGAGTACAGCTAAAATTGTTCCATTCACTGGAAAGAAGGAAGAACAGAGGAAATAAACACAGATGGGACAATTAGTAATCAAAGACCAAGGAGGCATATATATAAACCCAAACATATCTTACATTCAATATAAATGAACTCTAATGAAAATACATGGATTGTTAATTTGTACAAAAAAAAGCAAGAACCCACTATATACTGTCTATAAGAGAAACACTTTAAATATAAAAATACAAATATATTACAATATTAAAAAGAGATACATGCAAATACTGCATGAGAAGTACTGGTGAAGCTATATTAATAGACAAAGTAGGCTTTTAAAAAAGACTATTTCAGAGCTAAAATGGGACATTTAATAATGATGAGCCAATTTATCAAGAGATAACAATCCTAAATGTGCATGTATATAATAACAAAGCTTTAAAATACATGAAGCAAAAACGAGCACAATTTTTTAAAAGATGAAATTAACAAATTCACAATAATACCTGGAGATTTTAATAACCCTCTCTCAGCAATAAATAGAACACTAAGAAACAAACGATCAAAAAATCAATAAAGATAGAAAAGATTGAGCATTATCAGCTTAATTTAAATGACACAGAAAGAACAATATCTAATAACAGCAGAACACACATTCTTTTCCAGTGAACATGGAACATTTAAAATGCCAAGGTAGACCCTAAAAAAAGACCATATATGCCAGGCTATAAAACAAGTCTCAATAAATTCCAAAGTATTAAAATCATATAGAGTATGCTTTTTGATCATAATAATAATGGTAATATTTTTTATTAATTGACTTATTAATAAATATATTTCCTTATCTCTAATAGTAATTTTCTTGAACTATACTTTGTCTAATACTAATATAACCCCACCAACTGTCTTATGCATTGTTTATGGCATATCTTATAAAATATGTATTTATATGTTTACATTTAAAGTGCTTCTCTTACAGAAGCAAATTGTTGATTTTTCCTTTTCTATCCAAACATAATAATATCTAGAAAAATTCCTAACTATTTAGAAATTAAGCAACACATTCTAAATAACCTATGGGTCAAAGATTTATGTGAGTTAGTAAATGTTAAGGCAAACTAGAAAATATGTTAATTGAATAATAAAGAAATCTTATGGGATGTAATGTTACCAAAGCCATGTTTAGAGGAATATTTATTAGAAAGAAAGAAACATCTCAAATCAATGATCTCAGCTTAAATCTTAAAAAAGACAGCTCAGCTGGTGTGGCTCAGTGGTTGAGCATCAACCCTTGAACCAGGAGGTCATGGCTTGATGCTGGGTCAGGGTAGGCCC